TAAGGCAGTGAAAAGATTCTGTATATTGTAACAGTGGATTTATGTCATTATAGAATTATCAAAACCCATAGAATGTAACAACACAAAGGGTAAGCCCTAATCATAAATTATGGACTTCATTAATAATAATGTACAAATTGGTTCACTTGGGGAGGAGTTGGTAAGCAGGTATATGAGAACTCTCTGTACTTCCTGCTCATTTTTCTGTAAACCTAAAGCTGCTAAAAAAAAAAAAAAAAAATTTTTTTAATAAAAAATAAAGTGTAAGCTCATCATGTATCAACTATATGATGTGGCAGCCAAAACTGTGAATTAAATCAGACTATGATGTGGTGTGTGTAGAGTTCAGAAACTGGTGACAGAATCTGGATTCAAGCCTAGTATTTACTGTCTTTTCCTGTGGTAGGAGCACACAGGTGAAGAGGTGCTTTCCCTAATAAACTGGGTAAGAATGTAATGACTAAAAAGCAACCAATGTCCCAGTAACAACTGAAGGTTTACACTATGTGACCTCCAAAGTAGATGCCTCCAGAGTATGTCTAGGATCCTATGATTTACATTACAGGATAGAATGTTTAAAGTGAATACTTAAAGACACACAGAAATAAACGTTTCTCTCAAAATACTGAAATCTTTTTGGATATGTATGCACCTTGATAAAAAAGACACATACATATCCCCCCCCCAAAAAAAACCTTGCCAATTTGCAGTGTTTTTTTTGTTGTTTTGTTTTTTTCTTTTTTGAGATAAGGTCTCGCTCTGATGCCCAGGCTGGAGTGCTGTGGTGTAATCATGGCTCGTGCAGCTTTGACCTCCCGGGTTCAAGCGATCTCCCCTCCCCAGCCTCCTAAAATGCTGGGATTGTGGGCATGAGCCTGGCCAGTAATTTTTTTAATGGGGGAGGGGTTAGATTTGAGCCTATTTAAAGCAAAACTCTGTGTGCATATTTTGTGCTTGCATGTCTTTAAGAAAAAGATTCTCACATGAGACAGCTAATGTACAAGTATTCAAAATAAGATGTGGTAAATATCTTAATTGATTTCGGTCATTTTATATACCATATAATTTCATTATTTATTTTAATGACTGTACTCAAACGAATACATTTTAAGAAACCATTAAACAGATCAAAGTCTAAATCAAATATATTTTTTCTTTCAATAGAATAAAAAATTTAGAGATAACAGAAAAAAAAGTGTATATTTCACTTTGCTTCCATTAAACAATTTAGGAAAACAGTTACTAACCACTCTTCCTAAGTACAAACAATGCGCTAGGCACTGGTCTTAACAAAACCTGACAGCTGGAAAGGAACTTCAAGACCAAGGCCAAACAGCCAACCCATTGCTTGAATCCTCTACAACAGCACCACCAAGTGGCTATTTGTGTCCAAACACATTCAGCATCAGAAACGTATCTTAGAAGGCAGTTCACTGCATCAGACCAAAAAATTTTGTCTAATGATAATGTTATCTATTGGCTCTATTTTTTCTCTGAGGCCACACAGAACAAATCTAATCACGCTTCCATTTACTAGTACTTCAAATATTTTACAGAAACTACTATAAACCTCAACTCTTCAATCTAACTTAACAAAGCTATTTATTTCTCATGTATAGTTTTAAAATTTCTCTCATGAAAACTTCCAAGAAAAAATGTAAACCATAATAACTTAATTTTTTAATTTACAAAGGAAAAATAGTTCACAAAATGACATACTTCTCCAATTGCAAACTTTAAAGCAACAATTTAAATACAGACCAATATTTTCCTATAGTTGAATGTCTTGAATAAACTTAACATTAGCAGATATTTGTTTGATATTTTAAAAATATTTTCTACAAACTAAATACCTTCAACAGTTTTTATTTTTAACTATAGCACAACTGACCACTTTAGAAAATTCATATAAGCCATCATTATTTGAAAAGCAGCAATCTCCGAAATCCTCCAGGAAATTAACATAAGATCTCAAACTTGCACATGTGAGGTTGCACATGTACATGTGCATACACACATGTACCTACCTACACATGTGCTACAGCTGGGCTAATGAGTACAAACTATAACTGATGTTTTTTATACAACTGCATTCTGACTGAAATGAAAGATTTAAGAAATAATTTTTGGCTGGGTATGGTGGTTCACCCCTGTAATTCCAGCACTTTGCAAGGCCAAGGTGGGTAGATCACGTGAGGTCGGGAATTCGAGACCTGCCTTGCCAACATGGTGAAATCCCATCTCTACTAATAATACAAAAATTAGCTGGGCGTGGTAGCAAGCACCTGCAATCCCAGCTACTCAGGAGGCTGAGGCAGGAGAACTGCTTGAACCTGGGAGGCAGAGCGAGCTGAAATCGAGCCACTGCACTCCAGCCTGGGCAACAGAGTGAAACTATGTGTCAAAAAAAAAAAAAAAAAAAAGAAAGAAAGAAATAATTTCTAACAGAAGAGTTTGTTTTACTATAGTACCAATCATTGAACCGATAGATTATATTTACATTTAAATAACATTTTCACTGTAAAGGTAGTTCCTTTTATTAGTCTATTATTAAAGGGCAGTGGAAGTTAGTGTACAATCTGATACTCATATTCAGCACTGCCAGTTTCAAAAATATTTTCTATCAACAAAAATGAATGAAACCAGTACTAGACAAGAAAATGCCAATTTCAACTTAATTCATAATTAATACTTATTATTCAAGTAATGCTTTAGCATTTTAAATGCTCTAAATACTGACAATGTAACTTAAATAACTTGTATCATATACCATTAATAGTTTATGCAAAAAGAAAATTCAATGTTGCTTTATATTTTGGTCTACTGAACAAGAGGTTACTTCAGTACTAAATAAGCCTCAGTGAATTTTCTCAATTGACCAAGCCATTAAAATGACAATGCATTCACAAGGAACTTATATTCTGCTTTTATTGAGCTCACTGTGAGCAAATATGGCTAGCTATGCAAGAAAAGTTTGAGATATTAGATTTTGCAGGTTATGCACATTACAAATAGACAATATTAGTACACTTAGAAAAAAGGGAATAATCTTTATTGAGCCTATCAGGATTTCTATTTCTTGATATACCTCAGCTTGTTTGGTGACTTCAAGCAAGTTAATTACTATCTGGTTGAGATTTCAGCTATGTTAATATTTATCTGGAAGATGGTCTCCATAAATAAATATTCTAGGTGATATGTTTACCCGTTACGCAATAAAACATTTTATATTTTAACATTTTGTAGATATTCTTCTAAAAAACTTTAATTCCCTACTTTAAAAAAAAAAAGGTTAAAGCTTAATTTAACTATTTCCTATAGATTTAATCGCAACATGAGCACGAACTGTATCATATAGTGGTACTGCTGCACTTTGATCTTATGTTTTCTCAACCCGGCTTGATTCCATCAGTGTATTCTTAATGTCTCATACCGTTGTGAGAACCTAAGTGTAGAGTACAGGCTCCTAAGCTTTAAAGGCCTGGACTTTTGACATCTGGCTCATTGGAGGTCTTCTTCTCCCTCTTTTCACCTTCATGACTGGTTTTCAAATGACTAAAGTTCTCATAAGAAATCACAGCAAAACAGGCTGTTGACACTAGGAAGACAGTTCTAAAGAACTCTGAGTGTGTGAACATGAGAACAGAAAAATGTTTTCTTACAAGGTAACACTGGCTAATTTGTGGTCTCCCTTTTTTCCTAGGAACTGGAAATCAACCAGCCCATTCTAGCTTTTCTTACCCTTTATAGAATATTCTCTTTTCTTCAGATGATCTAATAGCATACCCTCTAAAATGCCTATTCATTTGACACGAAGAGCAGAAACAAAGAAGAAACAGTAGCAGTGTAGTCTAATTATACATGAGGTGTAATCTAATTATATGAGGTATAAGGTAATATGATTATGATTATATTATATAAAAATAATGTGTGTTTAGCATGTATTTATATGTGACAATGCCAAACTATGAACCTGAGTTTACGGGGGTTCTCAGAGGTAGTCAGAGTACAAAGACGTAATTTTGTCTGGCTGGATATGAGGTTATCACAACAGGACTTTTGAAAAGCAGTAGGAATTTTCAAAACAATCAGAAATATTCATAAACCCTACAGTAAATAAATGAGAATTACAGAAAATCTAGATTTTGCTATCTCTACACATAAATTGAACAAATCACTAAATTCATTATCTAACCTGTTTTTCCACTTTTTAAATGAAGCATTAATAAAAGACCAGTTTTTTTAAAAATTCTGCCTAAATAATGACTTGCTTTTCTCTACCAAATAAGTTCATATGATTCATATTTTAGAGAAACTATTCTAAGCCATCAAAGATTAGGTGATTACATAATAGATAACTTAATCTTCTTGGCTGCAACAAATTCTTACTGCTCTGAATTAATTTTATCAGAAACAAATGTGAGCTGGCATTTGAGTAGCTAATAAAAACTTACTTTACCTTCAATTTTTCCTACCAGAGATAAAAAGAAGCAAAAAAGACATTTAAAAGATTAGCCCTACTAATGTACTGGCTTGAATAAATTAAAATTACCACTTTATTTCTGCTAGCTGGTAATGTCAAAAACAAGAAAGCAATAAATAAGGAAGAAAATAACAAGGAAAAAATGCCTCCAGGGGAAAAGTTATCTTATAAAACTTACTGATTTTTTTTTCCACATACAACCCAAAGCTACCCAGTTAACATATCTCTAATGTCTTGCAGCTGAGGATATATAAATTACTGAAATAAAACTATTCAAGATGATAAAACATTTCCTGGTAGCATCTGTAACTAACTATACATCACAAAACACAATCACTCCAGTAGCTAAAAGAATCATGAAGTAAAGGATATATTCTTTACACTTTTTTGACCAAATAAATTGCTCTCTTTTTCTATCTATAAAATGGGGTGAGTTAGACATTGAAAATTTATTATTGGTAAAATGCTTCTATTCTTCAGGTAAATTTTATACAATAATCAAGTACTTGATTCTTACCTTGTTTTAATTCCAAACCTTCAGGTTGCTTGTTCTCTCTCATGGATGAAGTAGAATCTATACTGATGTCTTGCCTGGGAAACAAAAATGAGATCAACTTTTAAAACTATATTCAATCACATAATATTTACTATCCAAGTTCCTAGAATTAAGCTAGGCACTAGGGAAGACAGGCTGAATTCTTCTAAGCCCCCAGGGTATCATTCAGTGTACTATGAAAACTCAGAAACATGTATACAAGTGTCAGAAGCAGCAGCTACAAACTACTAGCAATTTAAGCAGTATACTTATTTGTAAAATCAAGGGGCAAACCTGAAAGGAACATGGAAGTAATTTTTTCTCCCTTCCATACTCTGCAGGATAGCTGATAGGAGAAATCACAACTCACAGCAGTATCCAATAATTTTTCAAGTTCAACTGTTAAATTTAATGAGCATTTTGGCATTCAAATTACTTTATATTCATTTAATTTCATACCTCAAATGCTTTGATGTCTACAGTCTATAGAAAAATACATATTTTATACATAATATACATATGTAATCAAAGTAAAAGGATTAAATGTAAGATCATACAAAAAAGTTTCACTATGTTCCAGAACACAGCTGCAAACTAATGTGCTTTCTTAGCATTATACCATCTTAATATTAATATTATACTTTTCAGCAAAAAGATTAAGAAATTATAAATATTCAAATGAGCTATGTGACCTTTTTCTTCAAAATAGGTATCTCTATTACCTTCTGAGAATTTTTATACACATTCTAAGGTTCACATACTAGAAATATTTAAGAAATTTTCCTACTCACAAAATTGTATCAATTCATTAACTGCAACAAATCCATCAAAAAAACCAAAGGATTAAAAAAGATGTGTGATCATTTCTTTCAGAAGTTTACAATATTCTTTTCAGTCAGCACATCCGACATGTATATGCTTGTTTTGTATTAAAACTGCACTAATACAAGCCCAAACTCAGAGAGTTCAACATTATTTGGCTTTGCTGTTAATTATGACATCAGAAATTTATAATTGAGATGTCTCAGTTAGACTTTTGTCTAACGTCACCTACTCAGATTTTATTTGTTCACCACAATGACTGGCAGGTCCCAAGGAGGATATCAGCAATTCTCCTTGGCAATCCAGGGACAGATTAAATGCCAGTATACTACTAAGAGTTCTGCAAAATTTAAAGTTAAAATGTGCTACCTCAAATCTTCTAGTCAAATTACATTTTACCTACGGGGAGCATTAGTCTAAGTATCCTCCTTTAGAGAAAAAGTTTGCTTTTACACATCCTAGAATTGCATTTAATTATTCTTCTAAACATATACATCTGAGCAAAAAAAAAAAAAAAAAAAAGACTTCAAAATATAATGTAACACCATCAATAAGAGGAGGATGGATATATGTAATACTCTAAGGAGGATACAACCTAATTTATATAATATTCTAGCCAAGAATATATAACGTTTATTATGAAGAATCACCAGACAAACTCAAAATGGAAATGAATAATGTTCTGTTAAGGAAAGTTGAATGTCATTGTTATAAAATACAAAGGCTGTGGATCTATTCCAGGTTAAAAGATTGCTAAAGAGCCAAGACAATTAAATGTTGTAAATTACCTGAGACTGCTGAACTGGTAGGGAAAATGTTGTGAAGGACATTACTGAGTCAAAAGACAAACTGAAATACTGATAGGAGACTGGATAAAAGAATTATATTAATGTTAAATTTACTCAAGTTGATACTGTTATGGTTACATAATAGAATATCCCTTGGAGAAACACAATGTAACATATAGAGAAAAGTGTCATGATGTATATAACTTAGCTTCAAATGTTTCCTTAAAAAATATACATATATAAAAAGGAAGTATGCAAATAGAAGGTCAATAAGTAAATCTAGATAAAGGGTATATGGATGTTTCTTGTACTATTCTTATTATTACAACATTGTAATAAGTCTGAAAGTATTTACAAATGTTTTAATTGATAATAATGCAATGTAACTTCCTTTCCTATGAAAGCCCCTTAGAGCCCCTTTAAATAAAAATTGGACCCCTCTATAAGGACTAACTTCTCTTATAAACAATTTATTTTAGTGTGCAAAGTGAACTTTTACAATACTCTAAGTTGGGTTCCATTAGGCTGTTGAAGTTACCAAATAGAATTTCAGACAGTAAGTATTGTACACCACCCTGTGGCAGAAAAGTGAAAAGCTAGATGCTTTCAAGTCAGTTTTACCTGAAGGAAAAAAAAATCCCAGAAAGTTTTCAATAGTTTGAAAATTTTAAATCTACACTAGCTAATTTTTATAAGATGTACTTTTACAACCAAACTATAGGTACAAACTTCTCTAATACAATTTAAAGATCTCCAACGAATGGCATAAAAGGCAAGATATTTACAAAAAGGAAATGTCTTAAATTGTAAGAAAATTATGTACACATGTCTTTTTATGTCTAGTTTTATGAAAATAAAAACTTCGTCTACTCTCAGATGGTAAGACATACTAGGTGTCAGAATTAGGAAAACTGAAGCAATTCCAATTTATGTTTAAATGACATTTAAATATTTCTATCAAACGCTGCAAAACTAAGGAAGAATTTTATAAACAACTAGAATGAGAAGAGTGGGGACACACTGCCAAAGCCAGCTTAGGTTAGGAATTTTGGAATTATCTCTGTGCTTCTGTTTAAATTTAAAAAAAAAAAAAAAAAAAAAAAAAAAGCCAGTTTTTCTTTTTTGAGACAGGTTGTCACCCTGTCTTCCAGGAGGCTGGAGTGCAGTGGTGCGCTCAAGCAGTCTTCCTACCTCAGGCTCCCAAGCAGCTAGGACTACAGACGTGCACCATCATGCCTGGCTAATTTTTTTAAGTAAAGATGGTATTTTGCCCTGTTGCCCAAGCTGTCCTTGAACTCCTCGGCCTCCCAAAGTGCTGAGATTACAGGTATGAGCCACCTTACCCAGCTCTATTTTTACATTTCTAATTCACTTCTGTCTCCAACATTCCTTTAAAGCAGCTTACTTTACAAGCTTGGCCTTGAATCACAAGAGAGCCCTATATTTAACACTGAGATTTAAGTTCTGAAACCAACATCAGCCCAACTTATTTCATTTTACCCCTATATGCTAGCCACGTCCATCCTTTCTTACAGTTCAATAAAATTTTTTTTTTCTTTTTTGGAATCAGAGTAATACACTGGGGGAGATCTGTGGAAGATCTGTGGAACTTAATAAAGAACAACCAAACATATGAACTCCTAAAAGTTAAAAATATATTTCTAAATGTGGATTTCAAAAATCCAGTTGTCCACATGTGAAATAATGGCAAATAAATCAATTCACATCTCTATTGTGCCGCTCATCAAGCCACTTCCTCAGATAGCAAAATTTAACCCTATACCTGCTGAAGGAAACCTTATCTCCACATTTCCTCTGCTCAAATAATATAAATCAAAGGATCAGTTACCACACCCCAGTGTTCCCTCTGTCCCGTGATTCTCTAAGAATTCATTGTATATAAACTGTCCCCCCACCCTGTAATTCCAAGATTTTATGAATAGGCAATTTCCTAAATCGGGGGCTCTGTTTATTTTAAAGTGACTAAAGGGTAACAAAGAGATGAGTATATCCCCTCTTTGCTCTATCCCTATATTACTATGTTTTCATGTCCTTTCCAGTTTCAAAAATCAGCATTAGATTACTTTGTACAGACATTTAAAGGTGCAAACATGCAGGTTTTAAAATGTGGAATGCTATCTAGCATTTTAGGTCACAATATTACCAGTGATTAGTAATATTGTCTGTGAAAATTTTCTGAAAAATGGTTATTTTGCATAAACTTACTATGTTATGTAGAACATTCTATATATTATAGCCTAATAGCAATTTACAAAGAATACGAGAACATTAAGTGTTGTCCAGATAACCATTTTATGATCCTTTACCAAACCAAAAGCACAGTCAGCTCTTTATATGTGTCTAAGAGAACTGACTTTATAGAAAATAATGTTAATATAACAAATTGATCTCAACTGTGAGAAAAATCCTTTTATACATTCAAATATATGTTTTCTCCTAAACTATTTTTGTAATAAATGAAAAAAATAAGACACATACCAATGACTTTTTTAAGCAATAGTAAAGATTAAAAATCACAACAAATTTGGCTGGGCACAGTGGCTCATGCCTGTAACCTAGCACTTTGGGAGGCCGAGGCAAACAGATCACCTGAGGTCGGGAGTTCAAGACCAGTCTATCCAACATAGAGAAAACACGTCCCTTCTAAAAATACAAAATTAGTCAGGCGTGGTGGCGCATGCCTGTAATTCCAGCTACTTGGGAGGCTGAGGCAGGAGAATCACTTAAACCCGGGAAGCGGAGGTTCCAGGAGGGTGAGATGAGCCAAGGTCATGCACTGCACTCCAGCCTGGACAACAAGAGTAAAACTCCGTCTCAAAAAA